GCCCCAGCCTCTCACTCGACAGGCAGAACCTGGGCAACAGCGGATGCCTGGCGTCCAACGCCAGGGCCCACCCCCACTCTCACACCAACAACCAGCGGCAGGCCCCCATCATATCCGACCACCACTCGCGAAACACCATCCCCACGACAGACAGCGCGACCACAGAGCGCCCTTCACTGCTCAACCACATCAAGAAACAGCCGGTGGCTTTCGGTGATCTCAATGTACTTAACCGAGGCCCGGCCGGGCTGATGATGCATGACAAGCGCAACTTCCACCCAGGTGGCGGTCGAGCGGTTAACCCGGGTCAGCCGGCGGGGCGCCATAACGTGGGAGAGGAGGGGTTCATCGGCGAGGCGAGGGAGCGAGAGGGCCAAGTGACACAGGTGGTGCCGAATGGCGGTGAGGGTCGTGGTGCTGGTCGGGACGGCGATCGCAATGAGACTGCTGTAGGCGAGGCCGCGCGAGACACGGCTCCCGATGCTTCGCCAGGCCTTCCGCTGCACGTGGCATCGCTGGCTCACACGGACCTGAGCGTGGGCGCCCCAGCCGCAGCAGCTGGCGGTGGTGTGGTTGGTGGAACGCAGGAGGGCGATGAAGGGACGGGTGTGAATGCTGCAGATCAGGAGACCTTAACACGAGGCCGACAGGTGCGCAACACGCATTGCAGACAGACACAACTGCCCACTGTATGTTTCTTCTCCTACTCTCTCTCTCTCTTTCGTTTTTCCAGACGATAGCCGGTGTCAACGGCAACAGCGCCCCTGTGGTGCCGCCCAAGCCCAAGCAGCCGGCAGCTACTCTCACTGTGTCTTCTTCTTCCTTCCCGGCCCACCGCCCCAGCCTCTCACTCGACAGGCAGAACCTGGGCAACAGCGGATGCCTGGCGTCCAACGCTAGGGCCCACCCCCACTCTCACACCAACAACCAGCGGCAGGCCCCCATCATATCCGACCACTACTCGCGAAACACCATCCCCCCGACAGACAGCACGACCACAGAGCGCCCCTCACTGCTCAACCACATCAAGGCCAGCAAAGAGAATCGTGCCGGTCGCAACGGTTGCCAGGCTGGGCAGGGGCAGCTGACGAAGAGCAAGAACAAGGACCGACCCACTGGCAGGGGGCTGAGCGAGACAGCGGTGGCGTCGAGGATGTTGCGGGGGTCCGTCCCCCCATCCCACTCGACCCAGCCCAGCAGCACCCGCCTCACCACCCATCAGAACCATCGCACGGGCGCGGTCCCCAAACACGTGACCCCGGTCGAGGTGGGCGGCAGCGGAGACGGGCGACGGGCGGGCAATAGTGCGGCGGGGAGGCTTCCTGAGGGCTCGAGGGTGAGAATCCCCCCTGGCGGCACACACACGGCTGTTCGCTACCGCCCTGGTGTGCCAAAGAAGCGTTCCAACGGGCTCGCCACCACCAACGGCAGCAGCAATGGCGGGCCGCCTACGAATCCCTGGAACAGGCAGACGACTGCGGGTGAGGAGAATGGCGAGGAGGCCACGAACGAGAGCAGGGTGCAGCAGTCTCCGGTGTCTAATCTTTGTCTAGGTACATCGGATGGGCAGTCCGCGTCCAACACGCAGCCTTTGATCGTTGGGTCGTCGTATCTCTCGCGACCCTCTGCCACGCTCTTTTCGACTCAAAACGGCACCAGCAGGCACCAGCACAAGCAGCACCGGCAGACCCCTTCAACCTCAACCAAACCACGCTGTCTCCCAGGTGGCTGCGCATTCTACACGAACCTGTCGGCATCCATCCATCCATCCATCAATTCATGTGCATGTGTATGTGTGTGTGTCAGCCGCAAGGTGGGTGTGAAGAGGGAGGACAACCCCCCGTCCCAGGGCACAGGGGCACACCACACGGGGAACATACCATCCAAAGGTACGCACATAACACATCAACCCATGGCATCCACAGAGCCACGGACTCTCACGGTATGCCTGTGTCTCCCCGGCAGGTTTCCGATTCCCACCCACACACATATGATGACATGCCGGAATTTTTGCAAGGAGGGACTGATCGTTGTGAATCGAACATTATTCAGCCTCGACAAGGCACACCATCAACAGGGCAAAAAGTTCCACACATGCACTTACATGTGAGTCGGTCATAGAAATATGTGCCTCTCGCCCATGCCATGGGGGAGTAACAAATACACTCATTCAGTAGCCGGACACACCACGCATGAACAAAACCGCACTGGCTACTCTCACCAGCAGTCAGTCAAAAGGCAGACCGACAGACTCATCCGCCCCGCCCACCCAACCATCATTGCTTCCTCGTGAAGGCAGGGACGAGACAGAAAACACACCTGCCTGTCTGCCTTTATACTAGCTTCCCTCTGCCTGCCTCTCACTGATAGGTGCCGGCAATGGTGTCTGCCGATATGCCTCTGCCCTGCCCTCCCCACCGCCGCCCCCACTGCGGCCGCTGTCTGAGTGTTCACTCCCCTCATGTGTGCCCTCGGCGCTCCTCTCGCCGCCCTCGCCAGACTCCGATGACCGTGACGGCGGTTTGTCCTCCTTGGGCGTCGCGTCGGCGCTGCATTCGTCGCTCTCGGCCTCCTCGTTATCATCGTCTTCTTCTCGCTGATGTGGCTGCGTGTCATCCGTAGGGGCCTCGCCCATGGCGAACCCAGAGCTGGTGGCGGGCACCCCCTGCACCACTATCATCGGGTTTCCTGGGGCAAGAGATGGATGACAAGACAATGAATGAGCAGCTATGCTGTTGCGCGTTGTGTTGTAGATGGAGGGTGGGTTACCTACCGATGAGTGTGGGGTCAAGAGAGTACGGCTCAGCCACGAGTGTGCGGCTGCGGTAGCGGCTGAAGCGGTCGTTGGACGACAACTCACCTGCATGGGATCGACGAACGAAGGCAAGATGCGCACATGAGGCACAGGCAAGCAATTTCGTGTGCGTTGTGCGTCGTACCCGTGCCGCCTTCCCGCATGACCTTCCAGAGAGACCACAGCACCAACAGGCAGTAGCCTGCACAAACAAACAAGCAATCATCATGTTGGTTCATCAGCCATCCAACAATTTGTCTGATGAGTTGGCCACGCCAGGCCACGCACCTCCGACGATGACTTCGATGAGGGAGACCACAAACATGCCCGTCCACCTGACGTTGCACTGATCACCATTGACCACTGCACCCTCGCCGTCACGGCAGTCGTCGCGCACCAGATCCAGTATGCACCAGAACAGCTCCTCGACGACCAGACAGGCAAGCCAACACAGGTAAAGCAGGATCCAGAAGGGCTGCTGCCGCCGGACGCCGTACAAGCACAGCGAAGCAAACAAGATGCGCAAAGCCACCGCCACCAGCTGAGCCCCCTCCAGCCTGCCGGATCCTTCGTCGCGGGTGAATATGGCCCCTGCCAGTGCCAGCATCGCGATGCACACATCTGCACACACGTCAGAACACACCATGACAAGCAAACAGAGGGCTGTGTGTTAGAGGTGGGCTGCTGTCCTTATTGTCGCGCACCTATGACACAGATGACGAAGACGCCTGACCGTAGCGATAGGCACCAGCAGCACTTGGTGAGAGGCCTCATCCTGACGATCCTGGAATCAAATCGTGCTGCCGTTGCTCAACAAACACAGCAGTGCTTGCCCGTGCTTTCTTTCCCTTCTTCCTTCCTCTCTCCTTTCTCGCCTTTCTTGCGAGCTCAGAAGCTTGCAGGGCGAGGAGGGAAGCGAAGGAAACGCAGACCACAGAAGCCAGCCGTATCGATTGCACAGGATGGCGTAGCTGTTGGTGTGGCATCTCTGTTGGACAATAGAGCCGCTGAGAGACCCTACCATGGAGTGACCGGCAACTGGAGGGGAGCCGATCCTTTGCTTTCGGCTGGCCGGCTGCCCTTGGTCTGCCCTCTACTTGGCTGCCGTCCTCCTGTTTTGTTTGAGGCACATGGGCTACAGGGAGGGTATCTTCCAATGCTCGGACAGCGGAGTCCTCCGACAGTTCCTCTGTGCGGTAAGTGCGTAGACAGGATGGGATGGTGGGATCAGCTGATCGTGTGTGTATTGATTGATGTGTATTGATTGATGGATTGATTGTTATGCAATCAATGCGTTCGTTCAGGTGTGCCTTGATGTGGTCAGTGATCCGGTGATCACGTCCTGTCAGCACATCTTCTGCGCCGACTGCTTTAGAGGCGACAAGTGCCCCTCCTGCAGACATGCACGCGTCACCATCAAGCCGCTCAACGGTCGGTGTTGACATCTGCCCAGCAGCTTCTGTCCACCCATTGTGTCTTTCGTCGTTTGTGTGTCTGGGCAGATGCTGTTCCCGCCCTGTATCGAATGCTCAGCAACCTCTCCGTCGTCTGCCCCAACGCAGGCGATGGGATGCACCCTGGATGCCTCCCATCGCCAGCATCCGACACACAGCCATCGCCCGACTTATCAGACCAACCCAGCAGCTCATCGCCGACCAGCCGACAGCAGCAACAGCAGCAGCAGCAGCAGCGCTCCAAGAAGAAGCGCAAGGGCAACGGCGGCGATAATGTGACCCTGCCGCCGCTGCTGAGTGGTGATGGCGAGGAGGGGGGGCGGGGAGCGGTGGGATGTGCGTGGAGGGGCACCTACGCGGATTTGGAGCGGCATCTGGGGCTGCACTGCCCGGCCAGATGGGTGGAGTGTGACATCTGTGGCGAACAGGTCAGCCAGGGAGGGAAGGGCGCACACACACACACACACGCACTCGACCGATCTCTCTGTGCACGGCATTTGTAGGTGATCGCAGCGCATTTGCCAGAGCACAACGTGAGCCAGGCGGCGAGCCACGTGGCCCTGCTGCAGACGCGCCTACAGGCCCTGCAGCCGGTGGACCGCCAGATCTCCAGCCTGCGCCGGTGGCTGGAGTCGACGGAGCCGTGCTGCTGCTGCGAGGAGGCGGCCGAGCGCATCGACGTGTTGGGAAGGAAGCTGGCGGGGCTCGAGGAGGTGCAGGAGCAGCTGAGGGACATACAGGAAAAGTGAGCAATTGGGAAGGAGGGAGGGGAAGAGGCGACTTCCTTCATGTTTGTCGTCGTCTGTTTTGTGTCACACAGGGTCGACAGTGTGACTGAGCATCAGCGGTCGGCCCAGGAGAGGACCCGGAGGCCATTTACGTGGGAGTGTCGGCTGCAGCGCGCCGCAGAGGTACACACCCATACACACATACACAGAGAGGCGTCTTGCACGTCACCCCAGCGCCTGTGTGTCCCAGCGCCTGTGTGTCTCGTGTGTGTCGCCACAGGTGTTGCGCGAGTGCGGCGTTGGCGAGCAGATCAACACGCCGTCCTTCGCAGTGATGGGTCACGATGGCTTCAAGATCCGCATCACCCCCAAGTGCAAGACGGGATACGTCGGCGTCTACCTGCAGCCACCCGCAGGTATACACAGGCATCACCTGCAGCCACCCACCTGATGCTATGGTACCTAACCTCATCCCCCCTCCCTCTGTCTGTCCACTTGGCGCTTCAGGCATGTCAGCGAAGCTCAAGTATCGGCTGATTGTCGGCTCGTCCGGGATGGTCAAGTGCACGCGGCACTGCCACATCTTCACGCGAGACGACACTCTGGCGGGCAAGGCCTGGGGCTGCGGCACCTTCTGCTCTGCCCAGTGTCTGCAGCAGCTGCTGCTCGATGCAGACGGGTCGCTGCGCATCGCCGTGGAGGTCACGTCGGTGCAGCTCATCGAGGCCATGAGGTCGGCCAGGGGCACCGAGGTCCAGTTCACCATGCCCCTGCCACTCACGCACTCCACGCCAACATAGGAGTTTTTGGAGAGCTCGCGAGTGTCCTTCCTGTGTGTGGCGTGGTACTTTTGTCGATGCAGTGTTTGTCTGCAGAAGGGTGTCTGTGTGTGGGCAGAAGGGTGTGTCTGTGTGTGGGCGGGTGGGCAGGTCTGTGTGTGGGTGTACACTAACTACATAATGGCCCTCTGTTTGTCATTTTGTGTGAGAGAGAAGAGAGGACTGCATGCTCGTAGATGAAGGACAGGACAGGCAAGACAGTTCTGAAGTTACCCCGCGTCAAGTGAGCCCCGCGTAGATGGACAAGTATGTGTATTTTCTGGCTGCGGTGCGCTGCTCTGCCCGTGTGCAGCCGTGCAGCCAGCAGATAAGTAGGGATTGTTAAGAGGTAGTAGGTAGGCACCACCCCGTGTAGACTAGCAAGACCAAGGGACACGTAGAGATACTAACGAAGAGAATTCAGCCAGCTATCGCACCATCATTGTAATGAGTGAGTGCATGTCAAGTGTGTGTGGATGGATGGGTGGGACGGGGGCAGTGCCTCGAGTGGCCTGCCTTGTTTTGCCATCCGTGTACCATAGCCGATTGCTGTAGCGATCAATTGGAGTGTGGGTGGTGTGGAGGGATGGATGGAGAATACACACGAGGAGTGGACTGCTGGATGGATGGCGCATGAAGAGAAACACTGTTGTGCGTGAGTCCATGTCTGAATGTCCATTCATCCAATCGGACAGACGAACCAACAACCTCTGTGGACGCCCCTCCCTTCTCTGCTGCAGCCGCGTTACATGCACATCACCCCTGGCGGTTACAGGTAGACGCCAAGGAACTGGCCGGCGTCATTGCACAGCTGAGTAACTCGCTCAGCGTTGCCTCAGAACAGGGAGAGAGCAGGAGGAAGGTGGTTCGCTTCAACTACTTAATGTCGTATTGTTTCTCTCCCTGTCGTATTGTTTCCAACCTGGGGGAACTCACTCCAGCTCTCCTGTGGGAATTCACTCCAGCCCTTCTCTGTCGTATTGTTTCCAACGTCCCACTGTTTTATCGCCGTCGTGGAAGATTGAGCTGCACAGCCACCACACAGCAGCCGAACACAAGGACTGAGCATGAAGCGTCATGAACTACACAAATGCACCAACGCAATCCTCTCAGACAAATGCAATCAACATCGGCACATGTGCACATGGCTCAAAGTCATCACGTTGCATAGCGCCCCTCAGCCCCAAATACAAATCATCAAACCACCAACTGTACACCCCAGCTCGTCTAAATGGTGGGCCCCGACTTCCTGTAGTCAATCTCGCTTCTGCAGATGGGGCACTGTGTGTTGCCCCGCCCCGGCGCAAAGCTCTTGCGCCAGCAGGCGACACACAGACATCGGTGGCGGCAGGTGGACGGCGCCTTGCCGATGAGCACCACCGTCCGCTGCCCGTCGTGGCACACCGCACACGACTCATCGTCCTCCCTGTCGTCGATGCGCCGCTGGAGCTGCCGATTCTCCTCCTGGTGCGCCCGAATGACGAGCCCGTCGAGCTGCTGAATGCGGGCAATGACCCGGGCGATGAAGGCTGTGGCGTCGGCCACCGTGTGGATGGACGAAAGGCAAGTCACCGAAGGCCTGCACACCCCCACACAGATGGATAGAGATGGACAGCTTATGTGTGTGTGCGTGGACGTACCTGTTGCGATTGTCGTCCTTGATGGCATCGACACGCGACTGGAGCTTCCCCACCTCATCCGAGAGGCACCGCAGCCGACGATCCAGCTCACCGCTACCAACCGCTGCTCGACCCTGAATGCCACACACGCAGACACACATATGGCGGAGTGAGAATCCCCGCTGTTCTATGCTCACTCTGAGATGCGCTGCGTGAGTGCTGCCAGCTGCTCGTCGAGCCGCAAACCGCCAATGTCATCAGCTACACCAGCACCCGACGAGCTGCCCTCCTCCAGCGGCCCACAGGGGCCACCCGCATCAGCCGAGGACGACGCCGTTGCTGCCGCTGGTCCGTCACCGGCCGTGCCCTGCTCCCTCTCTGTGTGTGGCTCTTCCACTGCTGTCGATCCGCTGCTGAGTTGTTGGATCTTGGCGAGTGCGGCGTCGTAGATGGGCTGCAGGGCGGCCTTCTCAGTCTCGGCCTCAGCCGAGAACTGCCGGATGCCCTCAACGCCGCCCGCACGAACTACCTCATCCAACTCGTCAACAGACCTGAAACACATAAACACACACGACACAAGGTGCGTCAAGGTTCCTTCCGCCCTGTGTGTGTGTGTGTGTGTGTGTGCGGTTCGTCTCACTTGGGTGCGTTGCGCATGGCGGCTTCCTTCTCGTGTATGAGTTTGGCTTTGCGCTTCTCCAGCGAGGCGATGGCCGCCAACTTGCCATCCAACTCACCACTCAACCTACACAAGCATCCCAAGACAGACACACACACACAATGTTGCGTTGAAAGTGCCACCCTTTCACCCAGCCGCCCATCTTACTCCTGCAATCTCTTGACAGCCTGCCGCTTCTGCTCTAAGGCCATGGCGCGTGCGGGATCGCCCAATGCTGCTCCATCACCCTCCTGCTGCCTCATCGTGTCATTGCCCCGCTTTGTCTCCCACTCAGACCAAGCAGCCTCCATGCCCCTCACCCACGCAGAGTCATCAGAAGGACTGCCGGGCGATAACGACAAGGCCACGGCGGCTGGACTGCCGCTGCTCAACTCGGCATTGACGCCCTCGGGTCGCTGAGAGCCGACGGAGGCACACCCATCAGCGGCAGCCGATGCTGAGCCGGCAGCGGACGGCCACTCTG